TTGAGTTAGTATAAAGCATGACGTGTCCTATTGCCAACAAGTGGCGCTATGATTATAACTGAATATTGACCTTTAGATGTCTTCAGGCCATGACTCTTTCCAAATATGTGACGTTTGGTGCAGATTGGACATTGCATGTTTAAGTTAGTGTAAAACAAGCCATTTCCTGTTGCCAGCAGGTGGCGCTATGATTATAATGGAATATTGGTTACATTTTTATTTAGTAACTTCTATTCCCATGGCGAGACATCGAACTTTGTCACGGCGCCATGGACACGCCCTTTAACGAAAACTCAAGATCTTCACAATTTAACCTCGCAAAGGCCTTTAGATTAGACTGACCAAAAAAAAGGTTGATGTCATTACATTTCTAGTAATTTGTTACAGCGTAAAACATGTCACTTCCTGTTGCCAGCAGGTGGTGCTATGACTATAACTGAATATGGGCATGTAGATCTGTTCAGGTCAGGAGTCTTATCAAACATGTGAAGTTTGGGGCAGAGTTATAGCAACTTCCTTTTTCATGGTGAAACATCTAAATTTGTCAGGCCGCCACGGACACGCCCTTCAACAAAAACTCAAGATCTTCGCAATTTAACATCGCAAAGGCCTTTATGGCGCTTTTCCACTGCGTGGTACGACTCGGCATGGCTCAGCACGGCACGGCACGGCTCGACTCGACTCGGTTTGCGTTTCCACTGCAGTTTAGTATCGCTAGAGAAATCTTGATAACACCATATTGAGCAACTATAGACCAATATCAAATCTTCCTTTTATAGGAAAGATTATTGAAAAGGTAGTCTTTAATCAGCTGAACAAATACTTAAACTCAAATGGATACCTGGACAATTTTCAATCTGGTTTTCGACCGCATCACAGCACAGAGACAGCACTCATTAAGATAATAAGTGGGCGGGATTATTCACATGTCGTTAGTTGCGCCGCCTATACTGCCTCGACTCCTGAAAAACTTTTTAAATCAGCGTCGCCCCATCAAGCTCTTGCTGGATCCGCTCCATGGCTATCAACAAGAGGAATGTCTGTACTTCCTCAACAGACCACAAAACAGCCACTTTTTGGTTGTTAAAAAAAGGTGCGCTCGTTCAAAACAGTTGCGTTCGATCCTTCGCTGGCTGTGCTGATTTAAATCTAGCAGTTCTGTTGTGTCTCATGTTGCAAGTTCAGTGATGCAGGTAGTGATGATTCTCTCCGCCCAATCCGTGATCAGCAGAGTTTGCACGCCACGTTTTGGTAACGGTACGGTTCACTTGGAACCTCAACCAAGGTGGTACTAAAAAAAGTACCAGGTACTGTACCCAGTGGAAAACCCCCCAAAAGTGAACCGTACCATGCAGTGGAAAAGCGCCATTAGATTACACTGACCAACTTTGGTGTTGATCTAAATAAATCTCTAGGAGGAGTTCGTTAAAGTACAACCCCTGAAAATGGCAAAAACGACACACATTTTGCCAAGAAAATTCAAAATAACCGACTTCCTGTTGGGATTCGGATTTCATACCAAGAGACTTTTTTGTAGGTATTGGTGTGTTACATGTGTGTACAGATTTTCGTACATGTATGTGAAACGTAGCTCGAGGCGCACTCCGTTGAAAGTGTATAGGTGGCACTGTTGAGCCATTTTGCCACACCCACTTCTGAAACCCATATCAGACATAAATTTTCGCCACTTCTGAGGCGTGTGCAAAGTTTTGTGACTTTTTGAGCATGTTTAGGCCCTCAAAAATGCGATTCGTTTTGGAGAAGAATAATAAAAATAGTAATAATAATAAACGGAGCAGATACAAGAGGGTCCTCGCACCACTGGTGCTCGGGCCCTAATTACTGCAATGTGAAAAAAAACGTGCTGTTTCAAGTACATATCTCTTTCCTGACCTCTCCCTTTTTCATTTGCCTTAAAGTGTCCAGTCTGAGGAGTACCAGGATGTTCATAGACAGGTGACTGCAGTAGTGGAGCAGCATCAGAAGGATTTGATCCCTGGAATGCCGCAGCTCAACATGTGTGACCTGGCTGTCATGGTGAGATGATTATTGCTTGATTGATACCGTCACTGGCGAGTGTGACACATTTGCTTAGGTTTCAACCTTTAACAGATTTAACCTTCATTTTTCCATTGGTCATCATCATATGAAATGAACATTCAGTTTATTTTTAACAGGCATCTTTTGATTTCTTAAATCAAATAAAATGGTGCAATAGACCCAAACCAGCCTTTTTTATGTTTGGGTTTTGTTCTGCTAGGCTCTTAAATCATACCTTTTTGCACACACAATTATATTCTACCACATATTTACACAGTTTTCATTACTTTTACATTTTAATTAATGCTTAATTTAATTGTTTTTAGCAGTGTATAAATTAGTATATACAAAAAAAAAAACGTATTTGAAAAACGTTTAAGATATTTTTTTTTTTCGTTGTTTAGTGTTTTGTTTATTAGCAGCCTTTGTGATTATTCTGTCACTGCAAAATTGTCTTTATTTTGTGCCATTAATGCGCTGGAAGATTGTTTAGGGTCACAGTAGACAGCTCGTGGTGCAACAGCCCCCTCACGTGTTCATGTGTGTTTCTCATCCTCCTCAGAACTGGAGTCCTCCTGGCTGTGAGCAGTTGGGCAAATGTCTTAAACCCCCGGAGTCAAATCCATGGAAGTGTGTCTGGCCACATTAATTTAGTTTTCCATAAGAACATTTATTAAGACAACTCTCACAATCAGATTAAATTTGAAGGATCTGAAGGAAATTATATTGTATTCTTTTCTGTATTGTTACTTTTAGCATTTTAAGTGTTTAATGTATTGTTGTACACAGAAAAGGGAAGAAAACAAATCGGATTTTGAAATTGAGAAGCAGTGATTTAGTGTACTTCTCATTTTAAAATATTCCATCTATGAGTGTTGTTAAAAAAAAACAGCCTGGTACTCACTGTACCTCAGTTACTGACCGACAGACAGTAACAAAATTACCAAAAACACACCATAATCATGCATATCTATGTTAGCTGAAACATAAATTAGACTATACATGATTGTGAATTTGTTCAAGTTAATTAATTATACTGTTTAATTTTATTTTGACTTGCGTCCATTTAAATCGATATCAACTCTTACATGATTTTTTTTTCTCAAGGGGCACTCAAATATTTTTAAACCCCTTGTGCATTTGACAGAAAATATCCATATATATTGTTTTAAAGCAAAGTAATTGCTTGGTCACCTGTGTAGAATAGATCTGTTTGTTTTCTCCACTGCAGCTGCTAGATCTACAGAATCCACTGGGATTTGTCCTTTGGTTGCATGTCAGTGCTCCCCTCCTCCTTTATTACAGATTGAACTATCCTTTGGCTATATATTTGTATCAATAATTATATTTATAAGTGTGTGGGAATAATAATAAACAAATTTAAACTGTATACAATGGCATTATGACATCGAGTCAGTTGAATTTAGCCCGCCTACTTCATAATCTTTTACCACATCTAATTTATTAGCGACATTTCCTTTTCAAAGTAAAGTAAAATACAAAATAAATATGCTGATTAAAAGCCAAGTGTGTCTGTCTGCGGACTGCGAGCGTAACTTGAACAAGGAGGCGTAACTTGAAGTTCAAATCACACAGAACCACGCAAGATGTCAAAACGAGATGTTGTCGGCAAGATGACCGCTTGTATAGAGACAACGGTGAGGATTTTTTTTTTGTTCCGAAATAACCGTTCAAATTTAAGTGTGCAAGTTATTTTCATACAGTGGTATTGTTTATGGAGTTAATAATCTATTAAAACTAAGGTGTAAAGTAAGCAATATATAAGCAAAAGGTGTAAAGACGCTATCCCCCGGTTTCACAGACAAGGCTGGTTAAAACTAGTCCCAGACTAAAATGCATGTCTGGGCTGTTTTAACTGAAAGCAACTTGAACTGGCTGATCTTAAAATATATATTTTTTGTCTCAAGATGCACATCAGTAGTGTATTTATCCAAGGCACGTTTATAAAAGCTACTTAAATATCCGAATTGAACTATGGCCTAATCCCGGCTTAATCTAAACCCTGTCTGTGACCTACATAATATTTGGGATTTTGCTGTAGAAACACGTTTTATAATGCACAACTAACAGGGGAGCTCCATTAAGTACACATACGTCTCAAAAGTGGATTTACATGAACCATATATACATCTTAAAGACAATTACTAAATGTCTATTTAACATCTGACAGGATAATCTTTGATTAGTATTGCAGATGAGCGCATCTAATAGACATGAAACAGGCATCTGAGTGATGTATGCAACACTGCTCTAGATGAATGTAAGTCATGTAAACAAACAAATCTACATAAACTAACTAAACACAAGTTATCTATTTTATTTGTCCATTTGTAATATTGATAATTTAAGGAACATTTGTGTTGAATAAAAAGCTAGTTACATCAGCAACTACTTCAACATGTAAATGCAGCATTGAGCAGAATACTTTTTTCCCCACTGTAAATGCAGTATTGAGCAGATAAATCACAGAGGTAACTTGACTCTTGTCTGGATGTTACAGGGACAGATGAGAGACAAGTGTGTTTATCTGCTGCAGAGTGACTGATGAAGGAAAGCTATATAAACATATTTTAAATCTTAAGTTGTAGTTTATATTAATTATTGTCATTTCAAACAACTATTACAGCACTTTTCTGATTCTTGATTTCTGTGCATTTGCTGCAGAGCTTTTGTGGTGGAGCAGGACCTGCAAGGCAAGGTGACGGCGGCATTTGTGAAAAAAAGGGAAAACCTGAAACAAAAATATAAATAAGATAATTGTGTTACTTCCGATACAGAAATCAGATGACATTATGCTGTTAAAATGACTGTGTTTGTGCATCTTTGCAGGATCTGAAATGTCTGCAGACTGGTGTGAGCCGTGAGGATGGGATGCTCACAGCAGCATCCTGCAAATGGTCCAGTGTCGTGGATGAGACGCTCCATCACTCCAGCTCTTACTGCCTCATCTGGGCCAGATGCTGCTGTGGTCTCTTCATCCTCAGTGACCCCCAGAGCTAGCTGGAGCATCTAGAGCAGGGATCCTCAAATCTGGCCCACGAGATCCACTTTCTGCTCAGGGACATACTGGTGGTTTTGAACCAGCAACGTTCTGCTCATCAGTTCAGTGGTTTAGCCCACTACAAAAGTAATAAAGCTACAACAAAAAAAATGCATGTGATTGTAAACATGCAATTTGGCAA